GCAAACTAGGAAACTGAGGTTTGAGGAAGTAAAGTTAAATGTCATAGCTAATAAGTAGTAATAGATCTTTAAGAATGATATCCCATGGTGGGTGGGTCAGGGCATATTGAGCAAAACAGACAATAGAACTCATGGACATGGACAACAGTGTGGTGATTGGGGTGAGGGAGTATAAGGGGGATAAATGATACTAGGTAAAATGAAATAAGAAGAAAAAAAGAACTATGCTCAAAAAATATGCTAATAACTGCTATGCTGCTCTCCCCAAAAGCCTTTGCATTTCTGAAAAGGGTTCAAAAGTTCAAAACTCTTTGCTATAAACATTCAGAGGAGAAAGCGCTGCGTTAGGGGAAGAGACCTCCATTCAATATGTGACACAATCCCTGAACTTATTTCTGGTTAAGCAAGAGAACTACTGCCTCTGTGACAAAGTCTCTGAACAAAGCTAAAGGCCGATAGATAAGAAGGCTGGGGAGGTGTTGAGTGGTGGGCAGGTGGGATTTCAGAGCGAGGAGTGCTTAGGAATGGAGACTACCAGCTGGGGAAACTTAACTACAATCATGTGTCTATTGTTTTCAAGAGAAAGGTCATCCAGCCAGTTTCTTAAATGGGTTTTTGAGTGGGTTTAAAATAGGTTCTGGCGACTACCTGTTACCATGGTTACAGAGCAATTGTCTTTACTTAGGGCTGTGAAAACATCTTTTTTATTCTGTTTCCCCTTTTCAGTCTTCCTTCAACCAAAACTGCAGAAGATTCTTCAAGATTGTCCATATCCTCACCACTGTCATCAACTTTTTTTAAGTTCCATTTGTCCACTTACAGAGACCTTTTTCGTTTCAGCATCAACTATCCCAGGGGTTGGCAAACCGCGGCTCCGGACCCACATGCAACTCTTTGGCCCCTTGAATTTTTATCAAAGGCCAGCTTAGGAGTACCCTAATTAAGTTAACAACAATGTACCTACCTATATAGTTTAAGTTTTAAAGATTTGGCTCTCAAAAGAAATTTCAATCGTTGTACTGTTGATATTTGGCTCTGTTGACTAATGAGTTTGCCGACCACTGAACTAGCCTGATGTCTTTTGGCTTTTGTCTTTAACTCATCTGTGGAATCGTATGCTGAGCCAGTGGCTGCATAAAAGTATTTGACTCTCTGGACAACAGCCACTGAACGACTATAAGACAAACAATAGTAATTTAAAGTATTTTAAGGAGAGACTGGAAGGCACTCCAGAATCATGGTCCTTGATATCCCAGGCATGATCAAGAAAATGCACTTCAAATGATTCCCTGGGTCTACTTTGGGCAGCCAGGTTGCCTCTTGTTTGGGCTAACATATACATTAACCTCAGCTGTGGTATTAATCCAGAACCAGCATGAAGTGCTGGCAATAGTTCATGCTCCCTTTGATTAGGCAAACTAAAAATTCAAAGGTATTCCAATTACTAGTCATAATTATTTGAGCTAAGGATTGTCAGTTGGCAGCGTGCCCTAGTTGGGCTGTATACTGTTTCCGCCAAGGTCAGGGACAGTGAACACCTTGAGTTGTCCAGGTCCTATGAAGAGCTCCTATTCCCAGAAGTCTGCTGGTTGATTTCTCCCAATGCTGTGTAAGAAGACATTGTCCACGGAGGCTGTTGGGGAGTCATACGCTTGGTTGGCGTGGTCCAAGTGTTGGTCACACAGAAGAGTCAGTCTGATGTCCACATAAGAAACAAACCATGTCAACAAGAAATCAGTATCATTGTCCATTTCTATTTATCAACAGTTCCCCTTGGGAGTTTAGAGGAAGCTTAGGAAAGTGGTGAGTGCTAAGGTCTCCTTAGAGTTGTATCACTGGGGAGATTTGGACAGCTGTCCTTCCTCCATATGCAACATGAGTTCTTCCGATGTTTTTTCTGCTCATGGTAAATAAAGTGTCCTACAGGCTCCATATTCCTTAAGAACAGAGGAACTTTGGGTCCTGTTTTTTTTTAATATATATATTATATTGATTTTTTACAGAGGGGAAGAGAGAGGGATAGAGAGTTAGAAACATCGACGAGAGAGAGTCACCGACCAGCTGCCTCTTGCACACCCCCTACTGAGGATGTGCCCGCAACCAAGGTACATGCCCTTGACCGGAATCGAACCTGGGACCTTTCAGTCCGCAGGCCGACGCTCAATCCACTGAGCCAAACCGCTCTCGGCTGGGTCCTGTTTTTATTTCAGGAGCCAATTGTTGTATCCAAGGGGCCCTAAGGTTATTTTGATTTCCAGTTCATTATTTAGGACTTTTTGAAAATGATCAGATCTACATTGGCATATCCCATTACAATAAATTTTACATTAATCCCCTATTTCAGGTCTGTCATTATAAAAAGAGAGGAAAAGGCTCCCATAAGGTGCTGGTCTGCCCTGTTATGTTCTTTGAAAATATCCTGAAGTCTAGTGACTCTCCTACTGATTCATCTTGATTTTGTTTGCAATTTTGAATCTTTGCCCAATTTACCCTTCAGAAGAAGCCTTTTGAAATAGTTTTATGTGGTGTGTTCCTTATTTTTCTTATCTTCTCAAGTCTACTTTTTAAAATTTCTGCATAGGTGTGTTACTTAAATCTTCTGGTCTTTTCCATCCTGCAGCTTTTCAAGATTTCCCCCATTGTTGAAGGTCAACAGTTAAGTGAACTAACTGGCACAAATATGATAGTTCAGTAACAGAGTAACTAATGGAATTCTGAATTATACAGCAGCTTTCTGACTTTCTGAAATTTGGGACTATCCTAAATTCGCACTCCAACTCTCACCCAGAGTTTAAATTGAACCTCTCTGGACCCACTTTTTGGTATAGGGGAATATTGTGCAATGTTGAGTGTTCTTGCACCTTGAAGAAAGTTTGTTTAGGCAGTTAGGGAAAGGAACATGAGTGTGAGTTGGTAGAGACAGAGCTAGGGAGGGAGAGAGAAAAAAAGAGAGAGGGAAGGGAGGCAAAGAAAGTAGGTTTCAGAAGCTTTGAGTAGGATTGAGATGTTTATCTTTTTCTTTTTTTCTTTTTTTCGGGCCAGAGCATATATCAATCAATAAAAATAAAAAATAAATAAATAAATAAATAAGCCCTCTTTTTGCTTTCTCTAGAGCCCCTCTTAAATCTCTTATTTTTGACATTATAAGTTTGCCATAATGAACTGGTATTCTAAGCCATCTAGTGAAATGTTGCTATTTATTGAGATAAGCACAGAAGAGTACATGTAGTGAGCGTATATATGAAACAGTTGTTTTTCCCGGAAGAGGTAGCAAAAGGAAAGAATACACTTTCCTTGATCAAAAAGTTTGTATATATGCATGGTGTCTTGAATTCCTTGGCCAAGGAGAGCCTAAAAGAGGCTATACAATCAACAAACCTGGAAACCATAGACTACAGGACATAAGCTGACTAAAGTGAGCTGCTTTCATTAATTTGACAAGGCAGAAACTGTGCCCATGAATGTTTCAAGGGATTCAAGGCAAATTTTTAGCAATTACTTTGTTCATACAAATTAATCACCTAAAAGACCTCCAACCATTAGTTCTCAGGGCTTGTTCCATTCCTTCATTATAAAACACTTCCTTCCACATTCAACATACACTAGCCAATCTAAAACAAAGCAAAAACCCAGGAGGCAAGAGTTGATATGAGTAAATGAGGAAAACTGAAACTAAAGCAAGCAGCATAAGAATAAGCATGTTAATGGCAAGCATTTTTGCTAAATGGTGCATCTCAAAAACATAATATTGGATTGCTTTATATAAATTTCTATTTATTTATAAATCCTAAGAAATTCATTAAAGAGAGCTCGATGACATGTGTTAGAGCTGAAATCATACTGAAAAATCCATTGGCAACAGGTCCAAAAGACTATTGGAGGTTGAGGCTAAATGGACCCAGGGTCTAACCTTGTTGGTCCAAGGTTCCCACACAATGGGGACATCTGTATGTGTCTAGTCGGATGGATGTATCTAGCCACAATATAGAAATTGTGCTATATTGAATAGCTTGTGTTTAGGAAGGTAAAGACTTTGTATCATTAAGAGGTCAGGGGTAAAAGAAACAGGGAAATCAGGAAGTTATTGCCATAATTTAGACAAGAGATGATGGTGGCTTGAACCAGGATATATATAGCAGCAGAGAATGAGAGCAAGTACCCATGAATGAGATAACTGACATAGTGAATTGAATATTATGAGAGACATTAACCAACACCAGGATAACAATCCCTAAAAGGGGGTTTTGCCACAAATAGGGAAGTGAGAACAGGAAGTCCAGAGGAAGAAGAAGGAGGAGGAGGAGGAGGAGGAGGAGGAGGGGAAGAATTATTAATAGGTTAGGACAAAAAAAGATATACAGAAAAAATAGTTTGGGACTAAACCAGGCTTTATAATTCTGGACCATCAGAACTAGAAAGATCCTTGAAAAGACCATCCAGCCTAACCCTATTCCTCGTGATGAGAAGTCTGAGACAGAGACCAGCATGGACTTACCTAAAGGCATATTGCAAGTTAGTAATAGAACTAGAACCTGACCCTACAAGACTCTCCTACTGTTCTCATGGGACCCAGGCCAGCTGGAATCATTCACAGCCAGTGTGCCATGTGGAAGGAAATGAGATGACTGCTGACTGGCACTTCTTGTGGGCCTAGCACTCCAGGGGTCACTTTTCATATAGTATTTAACCCTTTACTTCCACAAAGCAGAAACCATGATAAAAGTGAGGCTCAGGAAAGGTACCTAGAAAGCGGGTAGAACACAGACCTGCCTGAATGCTGAGCATGCTCAGGTGCATCTCTGCACAAGCCTAGAGTTTGCTGGAGTGGGGTCCTCTCAGGACTGTAAGCATAGGCAAAGGACTTACATTTTCAACCACGGTCTTATGTTTATTTAGGAAACAGCCCTGCTCAGGGAACTGGGCTCAAATTCAGCATCGGCTGATTCAACACACTGGCCCTGCAGACAACACTGGGACATTAGAGGCTTTGACTCCTTTCCATGGGTAAGAAAACTGTGTAAGAATTGGGAGAATGACTTAAGAGCGGCCAACCTAGACAGCCATGGGGAACTACAGAAGGTTTGGGAGCGAGGAAGGCTATTATACTTTGGGAGAGGCTGACCCAATAGGACCTTCATCACAGACAATTCCCAGTGGGCACCTAGCATTCAGATCTCACAACATGGCCCTCAATTTTTGTCCTCCTGCAGCATGCCCCCGAAAACTGGCCTCCAAGATCTTCTGTTCATGCTGCCGAGACATCGACGAGATCTCTTCCACAGACTCCTCAATCTCCTATCAAATGCAAGATCAGCAATCTGGTAGGTACCAGAACAGGTGCCAGGGTTCTCTGGACCCTGTTTTGTGCATCCCCCTCCTGTTGAGATACCCTCAGATTTCTTTCAGCTTCTGAGGGATAATTTATACCTAAAATAAGGTGGGAGTTGGGTGGCCATGTACCCAAACCAATGCACAATAGAGCTTAAAATCTTGATACTTAGATCCATGGACCAGCAAAATCGGCATCACCTGGGAGCTTGTTAGAACTGTACTTTCAGACTCCGTCCACACCTCCTGAATCAGAACATGCATCTTAACATGACCTCTGGGTAAATCTGAATGTACATTTATCATTTTAGAAAACACTTTCTTAAAGGTAAAAACATCGGTTATGATCCCTGCCCTTAGGGATCAGACTAGTTCTAACCAGCTCTGCCACCAAATTGGGCAAGTCACTTGACCTCTCACTCTGAGTATCAGTGTCCTTTCCTACAAAATGAGCACATTCATGATGGGTTACTACTTTCCAGGATCACTGGGAGGATTAAATGAGGTGATATATTTAAGCCCCTAGCACAGGGATTGCACAAAGTAGCCACTCAACAAACATCAACAAATGGAAACTCTACATGGGTATTGTTAGGATAGGATAGGCTCTGCTGTTAAAACAAATTAAGTCGTGAAATCTCAATGGTCTACAAAGTGAAAGTATGTTTCTTATTTACGTAATGTCTTCAGCCAGGACTTCCAGGACACATAGCTTCCAAGGCTGCATGTATAAGGGAAGTGAGTAAGGAGGAAGTTTGTGATGACAACCTTCATGATGATCCAGGGTGATCGAAGGTCATAATGGATAAGACTGGGGGATCAAAATCACCAATTTCAGATGGAAAGAAAAAAAAAACTGAAGCTTTACTGTCAAGCTCAGGCAAAGCTAGGACTGATGGGCACGTGGTAGGGAGTGTTGGGCAGGGCTAGTAAGGCATCTGGCACAGTCATGCCAAGAGATAGGAGAGCTCATTGGCAAGGGAAAATTCACATGGTATATTTTCCCAGAAATCAGTATCGGGGGTCTTTAAAATACTTCCCCTGGAAGTAGTTTCACAATAAAAAACAAACAGCTTTAAAATGTCAACCCCTTTTTCCAAGATAATAATAGTGATCATTACTGAGACCCTATTACACTATCTGGGCCCTAGGATCATAGCTAGGATAAAATGACTCCTCTACTTCTCAGAGCTTACGCTAGTCAAGTACTATTATCATCTGATCCCTACAATTCCTCTAAGAAGTGGGCATGATTATCTAAAACGGACGTCTCGTTTTGCAGATCTGAGAACAGGTGGAAGGAAGGTGAAGCAATTTGCTCAAGATAAGCAGCTCATAACTGACAGAACCATTTATTCTATCACAGAACGCAGCTCAGTCTGTTGACAAAACTCTATGGTATACTTTCAGGAATCTAGAAGTATATAAAAACAAAGCCTTATATGCAAAAATGTTCATCAGAACAGTATTTTTTAATGTTGTTGTTAATCCTCACCTGAGGATATCTTCCATTGAATTTTAGAGAGAATGACGGGAGGGAAAGAGATAGAGAGAAGCATAGATGTGAGAGAGGCCCATCAAGCCTGCACGTGAAGTATGTGCCCTTGACCAGAATCAACCCAGGGCCCATCAGCCCTTGGGCCGACACTATCCCCTGAGCCAAACTGGCTACAGCGCAATCGTATTTATGTAAAGTCTACACCCTCAACAATAGGACATTGGTTAAATAAACCTTGAATTATCCCTAAAATAAAATACAACCATTACTTCTGAAACTTGAGTGACATGAGAAAATGTTTATGATATAATGTGTAAAGTAAAATGCATTTGTAATAAATAAGCGGGGTGGACTGTAAAGACATATATAGGAAAAGACTAGAACTGTGATAATATCTGAGGGGAGCGGTGTTCAGGGTATTTTTTTCCTACTTCATAGTCTTCAATATTTTCTAGATTTTCTATGATGGATATGCAATTACATGTATAAACAGGAAAAAAGTAAACTTCATGTTTTAAAAAGAATACACGTCTTAAATCCAGCACCTGCATAGGATGGGGGCACTCGGAGACTAGCGGAGGTAGATTGGGGTGCTCCCCATCCCACAGCTTCAGAACGGGCCTGAATGCCTTCCCCTCTGGCATCTCCTCTGTGCCTCCCCACATGACCACATGCAATTTTCATTGCCAGGTTTGCAGAACCGTACTAGTAAGTACACTAGTAAAGCCTCCAGCTTGCCTTTGAGACAAACCATGAGTCAGTCAGAAAAGGACTCCTGGACTAGCAGCAGTGAATTTAATGGTGAGTTACAAATTGGGGTCGAACACTGGCCAGGAACTCCCGGAGCTGGGGGTCGTGTCCTAATGACCAAACCCCACCGATATTTGAGGTAAGTGAGCTCACAGGAGAGGCAGGATCACTCCCATCAGGACTCTGTAGTCATGTTCTAGAACATGCTGGAAAGTGTCCGAGGGGGTAACATCTGCCTGCATGCTCTTCCTAGCGAGGAATTACCCAGAGCAGGTCTTGGGAGGACACACAACTTGCAAGGCAGTGTGTACAGGGGAGAAGTGTGAGGAGAGAGTTTGTAAAGACAGCCTTCATTACAAAGGTCTAGGGCACTGGTTCTCAACCTTTCTAATGGTGCGACCCTTTAATACAGTTCCTCATGTTGTGGTTTACATTATTCATAATGTAAATATCGGTGTTTTCTGATGGTCTGAGGCTCTATAAGAGACCCACAGATTGAGAACTGCTAGCAGGTCGCCTAAGACCATCGGAAAACACATATTTATCATAACAATAGCAAAATTTCAATTATGAAGTAGCAATGAAAATAATTTTATGGTTGGGGGTCACCACAACATGAGGAACTATATTAAAGGGTCGCGGCATTAGAAAGGTTGAGAACCACTGGTTTAGGAGGTAAGCACACACACCCATCCCTCTCTATGAAGCCCTGTGGCATTGTCATAAATATGTATTTTGTGTGATTGATTAATGTCAGCTTCAGGCACCAGTCAGTCAGTTCCAGGAAGACAGGGCCCATACCAGTTTTGTTCCCCCAAATGCAGCCAGGTGCACGGCAAGTCAACAGCGCCAGAAAATGCTTAGGAAGCATAGTCCTGAGCTCAGTGGGGGTGAAAGGTCTCTGGGCCGTGGAAGGACAGAAGCCTGGTCCAGACAGTGGGCATATCCAGAAAGAAGAAACACAGCCACATTGCTAGGCACCAACTCTGTGCCCGGGTGAGCTCGCATAGCTCACAGCCTCTCCATGAGGCCGGCTGTTGAGCTAAGAACCAGAATTCTCCTAGGAGCTAAACCCTTCTTGCCAACAGAATCTTACACAAAGTGCAATTTCTATAGAAGATCAAAAGGGGATCCGCTTTACTTGAAAGGAGTGGAGGGGGCCAGGAGCTTCACTAAACTAGCCCTCCTCTTCCTCTTCCTTCTCTCCTCCGCACTCCCCAGAGGCTCCATGGAACCCAGTTTAAAAACCTGCATCTCATTGCACAGGGAGAGAACTTCCCAAAAGTCCACCAAGGCATGGCATCATGGTCAGAACCAGGAAGGGCCTAATTCTCCCACTTTCCAGGACCCTGCACTTGGCCAGGCCCCTTACGGTCACTGAATGCACCCACGGAGTACAGTGCAGAACCAGGAATCCCCAGGGGAGTGGGCCTTGTCCCTCTCACAGGCGACTTCTGAGTCCCTGGCTGCAGTCTCCGTGGCTCATACAAGATTCCAGAATTAGACAAAGATGGGGGGTGGGGGGGAGGCAGGGACCATCCAGCCAGGCCCAGAACAAAGGCTTCATCAGTATGTTTTCCTTTCTTCTTTCTTCTGTGAATACAGATGTTCCCCAAAGAGGTTTTCAAAAGAGAAACATAGGCCACTACGCGCAGACTCAGTTCCCATTCCAGTCGTGCCTCATTGGGAGACGCTGAAGATTCTAGGTGGGGACCCCACAAAGGTCTCCACTGCGGGAATGTCTCCAGAAGGAAGAGGGGGTGCACAGGGGCCATGAAGACTGATTCAGAAACTCCCCAATGGAGGAGAAGATGTCAGAGCCATCCCTGTGAGCCAGCAAGTCACTTCAGCTCCTAAGAAAGCCACTGCAGGGAGAACTGCCTCCAATTAAAGGCCTTGGTCACATCGCAGGACTGTGTCTCTCTTCTCCCCTCCCCCTTACCTGGGAAAATGTCTTCCAAAACCTCTTACCCTTTTGAAATATGCTAACTTAACATCTAACTAACCTGAAACACAATTTTTTTAACTTTGGGGCTAGACTTTTTTCTTTTTTTTTTTTCCATTTTGAGATCATATCACTTACAGAAAAGTTGCAAGAATGGTACAGGCGAGTCCTATTCACCCTCTACCCAGATTTACCCACTGGTTACATCTCCTCTGCTTGCTTCACCATTTCTTTTCTCTCTCTCCCTGGAACTTTTTTCTAAACCATTTGACAGTGAGTTGTGCATAACGTATCAGTTGTGCATGTGTATTTCCCAAGAATATAGACTTTCTTACATAACCACAGGACAATTATCAAAAACAAGAAAATCAACAGTGGGCACGTGTCCAGAGGCAGCCAATGGATTTGTCTCTCTCAATTCAAACCCCCTCCTCCACCCTCACCCCCGACCCCTGCCTCCATCCCTTCCACACTCTCTAAAAGTCAATGGAAAAAATCCTCAGGTGAGGATTAACAAGAAAGAAATTCAACAGTGATACAATACTATTCAAATGTCATCTGTTGTCCCCAAAATGTTTTACAGCTACTTTTTGCCCAGTCCAGGATCTAATTCAAGGCTGGTTGTGGTAGTCACAGCTCCTTATTCTCCTTTAACCTGGCACCTCGGTGTGTTGATTCCTGCCATCTACAAATGGCTTTTCCTTTGTTCAAGCCCATTTTTTTTTTTTCATCTTTCATGGCTCTTCTTTAAAATGTTCATTTACACTTTGCAAAATTCATATTAAATTTTTTTCTAAGTACTTTATCTTTCTGTTGCCATTGTAATAGGGGTTTTCTTCTGTTATTCTTACTGTAACTAGTTATTGTTTGTGAGTACAAACATTATTGAGTTAACTGTTATTTTATGTCTTACTTCTCTTCTGAATTGTTATAGTTTGGGCTAATTTTATCATTGACTCCCTTATGGCTTACCAGGAATATTTCTATACCACCTAAAGCTTCATCCATTTCTAATTCTTACAAGTCTACTTTAGCTTGTCTAAATACAATGGCTAATACACTCGTACAATGTTAAACAGTGGAAATAGTTGATATCTGTGCTTTTCTTGTATTTCATAAAAAATACCTCTGTTTGCCCAGAGATTGAGATAGATATAGATATATTAAGGGGGTATCCATCAATTTCCTTTTTTTCTTTGTTCTAGTGCCTATGGGGAAAAATCTCTCTTCATATTTAACTAACTTTCCATTCCACAAATAAACTCCACCTGATCATAATGTATTATTTTGATAATATGAAGCCTGATTCAGTTCACTAATGTTTAATAGTTTTGTTATCAATAGGTGTTATCACTGTAATTTTTTTGCATGTCTTAGCAGACTTAGGTAACAATATTATATACTTGCTTCATAAAAAAATGCATTAAAAATCGTGGGAGTTTTCTTTCGTTGTGTATGCTCTAGAACAAATTAAGAAGTATTGGAACTATCTGGTATTTGAAAGTTTGATCAAATTCCCCTGTGAAACCGTCTGGGCCTGTTGCCTTTGGGGGGAGGGAAGGAAGAGTGTAGTTTTGTTTTTTTTTATGAATTTCTCTATTTCTTCTGTAGAAATTAATAGAGTTTTCTGTCTCTAATGCAGTCATTTTTATAAACTATTTCTCTAGGAAATTATCCACTTCATCTAGTTTTTCAAATATATTTGCATAAAGGTATATAAAGTACTCAAGATTTTTAAAATTCCTTGGGTCTCAGGGGTTATTTTCCCTTATGCTTTCTAAGTTTATATATTTGCATTTTCTTCTTTTTTCTGATTAACTATTAAATACTCTTAAGTAACATAGTATTTCATTTTGTTAATTTTTTTGTAAGATATTTTGGTTTATCATTTAGATCTGCTTTTTATACTCTACTTAAGTAATATCAGTGTTTAATTATTGGTACTCTTTTTTTCTATTGGAAGTTCTTTTGACTAGTATGATGTCTTTTTTCTAACTTTTTGAATTGGAGGTTTATTTTCTTGACACAAGTATTTAAGGACTATGGTAGACAGAATAATAGCCCCCAAAGGTGTCTTTGTCCTACTTCTCAGAACCCGTAGCTGTTACCTTACCTCACAAAAGGGGATCAAAGATGCAGGTACAATTAAGGCTGCGAGTCAGCTGACTCGGATGGGGAGAGTGAGCCCATCTAATCACAGCGGGAGAACTCAGCAGCCCAGTTCTGGGACCGATTTCTGACACCACAGCACAGAAGTCAGGACCAAAGGAGGGACAGTGGCGATGGCAGGTAATACACCATCTCCTCCTAGCAGAGAAGGAACTGAAGTGATCCAATTTGTTTGTGAAACAATTTGACAATACCAACGCTGAACCTTTAAAACGCCCCAGCCTCTGATCCCTCCTCTTTCTGCCAATGATCAGACGCATGACCTTGACCAGGATACCTAATAAACATGCTGTGCCTCAGTGCCCGTGCCCGGGCTCTGTGACATCACACCACTATCCTTGACACCTTGGCTGTTTCTCTTGTTTATCTTCTAAGATTGAAGTCACTGGGAAAACGAGATGAGTCCAGAATCAGAATGTTTCTCTCCATTTCTGTGAGCAGGGAGTAAAACCCCTGTTAGTAGAAGGGAGAATGGGGATAATATTGGCCATATTGTTGTCCACAAGAGAAGGCTCATGTGTCTATTCACACGATATTGCAAAGGCAATTCCTGTGTGCAAAGCCCTGTGCTCAGTGCTGGGGTTCAGCGATACACTGGACCCAGCCCTGCCTCCTTGAGAGTGAGACTCTCCCCCATGTTCAATGTCATCTTTGCATGGTGCTGCCACCAGTAGGTTCCCAATAAATACATGCTCAGCAAACGTCTCACTCCCAAAAGTGACAAAAGCTTTGGAGAAGAATGGGGTGGGGAAGGAAAGAGTGAGTTCTAGGGAAAGGAAGGTGTTGGGGAATTAAGTAGCGTGAATAGGCAGAGGCTTCTCTAGGAAAGGTGACCTTTAAGCAAGGCTTGAAGCGAGGGACCGAGTCTCTTGGACCTCTGGGGAAGAGCACTCCAGGCTGAAAGTGGAACCTAGGTAAAGGCAGCTAGAATGGAGGGGCTGGAGGGTGGGAGGAGACAGCAGGGAGGAGTGGGAGAAGGCAGTATTAGGTTACCAACTTGACCATGGGAGACAGGAACGAGAGCAGGCAATGGCCAGGGGCCCAGAAGAGAGAAAGGAGGTTGGAAATGAGTTAAGGATGTACAACCTTTGAATGTGGATCATAACAGCAGAATCTTCGGAGAGATGATGCAGTCTAACCACCACCCGTTAAGAGTTGGGAGCCTAGGTCCAGAGACAGGCATAGACTAATCCAAAGCCACACAGCAAGTAAATGCAGAGCCAGGCTTTCAACTGGCAAGACTGAGCTACAGCATCATGCTCCCATGGCACCAGGGCCCAGCTGGGATAGAGCCCATAAGCTACACCCAGGAAAGCGAAGGCAAAGAGGGTGAGCACTGAGCCAATACCTAAATGCACCTGCCATCACCGTGGTCACTTGACCTACCTTGTTCCAAGGTGGGTACCACTATTCCCATTTTTCAGATAGGAAGGAAAGCGAGGCTCAAAGAGATTATAGAATCAGCCCAAGAGCAGACACTAAAAACAGAAGGTAAATCTGACTTCTAAACTCAGGTTTCTCCATGGGCGCTGCAGCATGCATGTGCTGGGCTCTGCTGGCGTTTTCCAGTCTCACGGTCACTCAGGAAGCAGCCCTGCCCAGAGAACTGTGCCAGACCTCCAGGTCTGCCAACTCAACAGGATGCCTCTACAGGTAGACCATCAGAGTAGAGGGTTCAAACCCTTTCTTAAGTAAAAGAACTCTGGACAGAAGAGGAAGGACTGGCCAGAGACAGGCCAGCACAGGTGAGCCTGGGCCTGCTGACCACAGGGAACCCAGGAGTTCTGGGAGGGAGGGGTGATACCTTGGCCCAGTATGACACGCCGCTGAAATAACAATGGGCTTCTGAGGTTGGGGCTGCAGAGGCAGCCCCACCCCAGTACCCTTTCCTTTCCCCACAGCCCACCAAAACATGGGGTCAAAGTTCTTCTGTTGTTGCTGTCCAGCCAGCGACGAGCCTCCTAGCACTGTCTACCCCTACGATGCAGGAACGTCCCAACAGTATCATCCACGGACCTTCGGTAAGTTCCAGAGGTGACGGTGAGGTAGTTGGCAAGAACACCTGAGTCTCCCCAGCCACTTTTTGCTGGGACACCCTCAGATTTCTTTCAGCCTGTTGGGAGTATGGGAGGGGTGTAATTACCCAAACCTGTTAAGATACATCCTAAAGACTAATTATTTGATATTAAATATCACTGGCTTGCGTGTGACATACCTGCTTGAGTTCTGCCTCAGCCACCTACTGAACTGGAGCATGTCAGTGGATCACTCTTTGAGCTTCAGCATCTTCCTCTATTAAAATGAAGATGATGATAATACACCACCTACTTTTCAGACTGTTGGGAGGATGAAATGGGGCAACACAGATAAGTGCCTAGAATATGGCCCCACACGAAGTCAACAAATGGAAACTGTGTATGTGTAGTAGTCAGGACCAGCTAGGCTATGCTGATGTGACAAGTAAACGCTAAGATCTCAACTGTTTAACCCAATGTAGGATTATTCTCAGCTCAAGCAAGCAGAATTTTATTAAGCCAAATGGGATATGACCAAGATTGTTTATTCATGTGTAATTCAAAGCCTTGTCCTTCACTTTCAGATCTAAGCTCAGGTCCTCACAGAAATAGTGAGCAAAGGAGATGCCCCCACCCCAACAACAAGAAGATGAAGGCATGTACTGCTGCGAGACCCTGATGGTTCTAGTCAGGAAGCAGCCCTCTGCAGGTCACCGAGGCGGCCAAGCTGCGGGAGTGACTCCGGGAGGAAAAGGGAGGCGAACAGGGACCATGAAAACTGATTCAGAAACTCCCCCGAGGAGGAGAAGACGTTGGAGCCATCCCTGTGCCGCCAGCAAGTCACTTCGGCTCCTGAGGAAGCCACTGCTGGTTACATTATAGAACTGTGTCCCTCTTTCCCCTCCCCCAGCCCTACTTCAGCGATTCTAATTGCAATTAGAACCTAGTGTCTTAAGAAGCATTTCTAAAACATTTCAGTCACTCCTGACCAACCTAGCAAGGACGTGTCTAGGAGAGGCCAGCTAGAGTAACAGGCGGCTATCCATGGATGCTGTAATACATGACTAGACCTTGCGGGCACAATTCTGCTCACCTGCTGTGTGACTTCATTTGGTGCTCAAGACCACAGTGAGCACTGAGCAGTGGGCAGGTTGTGCAAAAACCAGTTGTGCAACTTGCAGCCCTAGAGTGATAGCGAGTGACACGGAGCTATTTGCTACAGCACAGAACACGCAGACACGAGTAACACGCAGGGGATCCCGAATGCCTTCCATTTTAGCCAGGGAGCCAGGCACAGAAGCAGATCACTTCATCTTGACAGAAGAACTCGGAGAGCAAAAAGATGAGAAGCATTTTGCAACCCCATTGGGAATTCAGGGAAGGCTTTCTGGAAGAGAGGGTGCCTGAGTGTTCTGAAGGTTGAGAAGGGAATTGGCCAACTGAAGAGGAGGGTGAATCATACCCCAGAAGGAGGGAACACAATAAGCAAAGTTGGGAAACAGAAGCACAGCCTGGGGGAGGGATGAGAAGAGTGAACTTCAGTGTTTGGAATGACTGAAATGAAAACCTGAGCCAGAGTGTGGTGGGACGTGAGCGGCAGTGCAGTGAGAGCCTGCAGCGCAGGGGAAGGGAGTTGGACTCGGTCCTGAAGGTCCTGGGCAGCCACAGATGAGTTTTAAGCAACAAAATAACATTGCCAGATTTCTGACTCATGCCATGTGAACATGGCGAGTTAAGAAGACAACTCATCAAATTAGCACTCCCTGTTCCTGCCCCCACCTCAGAAAAAGAGAGGAATTTAAAAAGATGCTGCAATTTTAAGGAAGGAGTATGAGTAATAATGGTAATAATAGCAATGCATAAAGTCTGGTATATTGCTTACTCTTTTAAGTGCTTTATAAAGATCAACTTAGTATAATAACCCAACAGTGTTAGTTAGTACTATTACTAGCCTGATTTTGCAAATTAGGAAACTGAGACAGAGAGCTTAGAAAGTCTCTTAAGGTTACAATGACAGTAAATGGCAGAGTTGAGACTTGAACCCAGGAAGCCTGACTTCAGAATCAGGCTTTAAAGTCAATTTAAAAAATCAAGATTAGCCAAAACCGATTTGGCTCGGTGGTAGAGCGTCGGTCTGCAGACTGAAAGGTCCCAGGTTCGATTCCAGTCAGGGGCATGTACGTTGGGTGCGGGCACATCCCCGGTAGAGGGTGTGCAAGAGGCAGCTGGTGGGGGTTTCTCTCTCATCGACGTTTCTAGCTCTCTATCTCTCTCCCTTCCTCTCTGTAAAAAATCAATTTAAAAAAATTTAAAAAATTATATATATAAAATTAAGATTAAATACCACAATAGCTGAAACTAAGAAATAATTTTAAAGGATTAACAATCAAACACAAATGAGGGCAAGTGTAGAAAATATAGACTGAATCATGAGGAACTATAAGGAAAGACAGTGTCTTGGAGATACAGTGAAAAGGTCTTCACACACATATGAGAGAAAAGAGGGTAGAAGCTTTGATAAAAGGTATTGTGTCACAGATTTAAAATGTGCTATGAACCCCAAGTAGGCTAAATATGAAGAAATCTGCCTAGCCAGCATGGCTCAGTGGTTGAGCATCGACCTACAAACCAGGAGGTCACGGTTCGATTCCCAGTTCAGGGCACATGCCCAAATTGTGGGCTTGATTTCCCCTTGTGGGGCATGCAGGAGGCAGCCAATCAATGATTCTCTGTAATCATTAATGTTCCTATCTCTCTCTCTCCTTCTCCTTTTTTCTCTGAAATCAATAAAAATATATATTTTAAAAAAAAATAAGGTTTGGCATGTCAGAAAAACATTAAAAACAAAAAGAAAGATTTGTCTAGAATCTTTATTCATATAAATATACCCCATGGGGCTAGAGTGACTGAGGTCTGATGTAGACTAAATAAACATAAACTGTTAATGACCTACTACATCAAGAAAAATATACTACCGTGTTTCCCCGAAAATAAGACATCCTCCGAAAATAAGACCTAGCGCAACTTTGGGAGAAAAAATTAATATAAGACACTGTCTTATTTTCGGGGAAACAGGGTAGTACATTGGGCACCTACCATATACAAGACAGTGAGAGATTTAAGAAAAATAGCAACTATTTGTTGAGCTCTTTCTCAAGCTTGCAATTCAAAGATGTAAGCACTTGACATTTTTCCTATCACTTTTCTTCACGATAACCTGCCAGGTAGGTATTCCTATCCCCATCCCACGGGAGGAATGAGACCTCAGGGTGGGGAGAACTCGGATTGGAATCAGTGTGACTCTAGAACCCAAGCGCCCACCTCAGACACTGTCCCACCTCCCCCATCGCCATGGCTGCCATGAACACAGGGCCTTCAAACGGTGCACATTCATTTGTGGAATCTGATCTTCCCAGCAGTCCTGTGAAGTGGGTAAGACAGAGATGACAGAATTTCCTCAATGAGAAAGCTGTACCTCGTGGCTCAGCTGGATGCCCCACCCGCAGGGGAGACCGTCAGGAACAGAGGAAAGGACACACAAGGACCCTTTAAGCCCTCACATGGGAAAACTGCTGTTTTTCCACAGATTTTTATTATTATACTTACCAGGATTTTATGCTTGGATGATAACTACGGGCTTCTCCTGATCACATTCACAGCCCAAACTTCCTCTGTGGCAGGTGACAAAGAGAGTAATAATCACCTTCATGAATAATTCTCATTGAGCAAAACTGCCCTAAAATCTGGCTGAAGAGAAATGCCTAAAACAGCCATTTTCAAGGGCTGCTCTACACACGATTTCTCTCCTCTGGCTCAGAGGAAGCAATAGTTAAACTCATCTCTTACATGGCAAGTTGTCCACCTTATTACATTTCATGTTCACCAGATCCATTTTTAAAAGAGTGAAATGACAGGAAGGTTAGGTGACCTAGCCAAGGTCAATGCCACTAGGAAGCAGTGAGAATCCAGGTTTCCGGCTAGCGAAGTCAGTATTCTGTCCAACAGTCTGGGACACCTCATCCATGTGGGGCTCTAGAACAACAGTTGCCAACTGGTGGTCCGCGGACCACTGGTGGTCGGTTAGGTCCCAAAGGATGGCAACCGCCGCGCTAGAACCTCTCTATATGTGCATGAAGGCATAAAAGTTAGACAGGCCAAGGGCTATAATGAAGCAAAAAAACAAAGGACATTTCCAGAACTTTGGCTTTGGAAGGGCCATTTAGGTTATGGAATCTACCCTTTACATAGATGGGTAAACTGAGGAGCAGCCAAAAGTTACACAGCTAGAAGTGGCAGTTCAGAACCAGAACCCAGGTCTGTGCCAACCTCATTGTTTGATCTCACAAAAAGCTACTTGCAAAAGCTACTACGGAGATGACAAAGCAGGACCAGGCCATTCACAAAAGAGAAGGTGTAGTATTTTTCCTTGAGGAACTTATAGTCTAGGTAGGAAAATAGCATGTGCACAGGAAAATAGAACCAACGAAACAAAACATCAGTAAAGGCAGCAGCTACATCAAGAATGTAAAAGGAGGCGAACAGTCGTAGGCCTGGCTGTGCTGGAAAGCTTCCGACAGATGGGGTGAGAAAGGCGGCGCTTTGAAGCATGCACAGGAGCCAACAGCTTTTATGGCATAGGTATGTCACTCCTGCAAAACTTATAAACTTTTTACTTGGTGGGATGTGAGGCCAAATTGCAAATGAAGGCCAGATCTTGAAGGCTCAGCTCTTCATGGAATCCACGGGTGACAGTGCATGCTTCCTCCAGGATAGTGTAGTGCCAGGGCCAGAAAGCCGGGCGTTGCTCTCCACCTGCAGTATACAACCACAGCCACAAGCACGCAGGCCTTTGAGCAAAATAAGTCCTCAAAATGGATCTTCTCCAGACAGCCCCACTAACAGTTACGTGCTGCCCGTTTCTTTCCTCTGTCTCCTGGTAGCCTATGTACTGGCAGACAAGCAGAGGTACCGCTGTTTTTCTTTAAATACAGGAGAAAATGTATAAAGGAGACCATTCTGAGAACCAACCTCTTTCTTTCAGGTTAGGAAGAGGCACCCTTGTCATCCTAGAGGCCCAAGGCAGTGCTTCACAGAGCACCATCCTTCTCCCAGAACCTCTGTTTCCCCATCTGACGTGAGAGGGTGGAGATGGGGGCATCATCAGAGACCAAATGTTGATGGTCATCTTCACATTTGCTGGGCTGTTCAGACAGTGAGCAGGATGGCAGAGCAGCCCTTCCCTCCGGGCCCGCAGTTCCGAGCATCCTGGAGAGTAACTTGCAGCGGGGAGCAGCTGGCAACCACTGCTTCTGAAAAGGCCTGGGGTCATCAAGGGATGTCAACAGTCACGTTCGTGCAGGGTCCTGGAGTGAACATGCCACCCCATTGCTGATGTGACACACCCTTCGGAGTGTCCCCAGATGCTTCTCACCTCGCCTAGGGATCACCATGGGCCACCTTGGGCTCCCAGGCCTCCCTGACTTTGCGCCTTCTGTCCTGGAGGAGGATGAGTACCTTCGTCCCTAGGTCACCTGGCCAGGAACGGGCAGCACCCCGTGCCCAAGATGTGGGCTTCTATGAGTTGGCAGGGGCATGGAACCCTTGGAGAGTCTGTGTGTCGTGTCCCCATTGCCTGGGGGAGCTGGGAGGTCACCAGGAGCCGGATGTAGTAGCCGCCAAAAACTGCCAGCAGCTGCTGGGCCATTTCCTGGAAGAGGCAGGGAAGCAGAGTGAGGGCCACACTGCTCGTGCACGTGGGGAAGCCAAGCGGTCCTCACACCCCTGGGCTGGCAGGGATACTCATTGAAAAGAACCCGGCCAGGCCCTTGTCTGGGGCTTTTGGAAGATGCCTGGTCTAGTCTGGTCTGGAACCCCAGCTCTGCAACAATTGACGCTGTGAGGCTCCTCAGCCTCAGTTTCCTTATCTCTGAAGTGGGTAGCCTTCAAAAAAAAAACTACGGAACCTCAAATGCGAGAGAATTTAGCACTAATTTATCCCAGCCAATCACATACACACACACTGTGTGCAGTTTCCAATGTTTATGAGTCTGTAAAATGCATGCGAACAAGGAAACACACTGAAGAAAATCACGCTGGGAAAGAGGTGTGGTCACCAGGGGGCGCTATGGGCCCAGGTGAGAGGTTGAGTCAAGGGCAGGGAATTGGGATGATGAAATGGTCTGGATTAGCCTGGATATTTAGACTCCAATAAAGGAATAGGCAATGTGTTCTAAGAGTCTGGTTCCCCGGAATGGCCTTCTGGTTCTTGCCATAAGGTCTGGGACCCAGCCGAAACCAGTTTGACTTAGTGCATAGAGCGTTGTCATGTGAACTCAAGGGTCCTGAGTTTGATTCTGGTCAAGGGCATGTACCTTGGTTGCAGGCACATACCCAGTAGGAAGTGTGCACAAGGCAGCTAATCGATGTTTCTCTCTCATTGATGTTTCTAACGCTCCATCCCTCTCCCTTCCTCTCTGTAAAAAAAACAATAAATATATATTTTTTTTTAAATGAGTGAATGGGGGTGGGCAGGAACAGAATACCCCCTGGCTTTTGCCCTTGACTTTGCCACATTCTCCCTTGCTCTGTGACCTTGGGCACGTCAGCTGACTTCTTAGAAGCTATTTCATCCACCAGAGAAGAAGAAAAACTAATCCATACCTCAGAAAGCATGCTAAAGAATTTTATGCATGATAAAACAAAAAGCTGTCAAAATGTAAGAGGTCATTATAACGATTTCTCCGTCTTTCACAGGCACAGATTTCCTACTGAAATAGGACGCCTGGCCGAGGCTGAGACATTCACATTGATTATATTTTTTTTCTCGCTAAGTTATAAGGGCAGCTACTTCACAAACATGTGCACACACACTGAGATTTGATATTCAGAGCAGGAAATTGTATTACTATTGATCTGAAGGAATTTGAGAAGATAAATTTAAAGACCCATCATATTTAATAGGCTATTTCGCATAAACTCAAACATGCATGCCACAATAGAGTACGTGATACTATCCATCTTTTGTGTACTTTAAAAAAAAAAAAAAAAAAAAGTCCATGGGGCCTGACTGATATGGCTCAGTGGTTGAGTGTCAACCTATGAACCAGGAGGTCCCAGCTTCTATTCCTGATCAGGACACATGCCTGGGTTGTGGGCTTGATCCCAAGTGTGGGGTGTGCAGGAGGCAGCCAATCAATGATTCTCTCTCATCGTTAATGTTTCTATCTTTCTCTTCCTCTCCCTTCCTCTCTGAAATCAATAATATATTTTTTAAATAACTATTTTTTTAAAACTCTATAAGGTTCAAGTAACGAGATTAATATATTTATCTTTTTCTCTTGTAATAGTCCTATGTGCAAACCCCCCACTCCCCTGCATTCACCATGCCTGAGCTCACTCCTCATCGCATGTTTCCTAGACAGTGGGTATATCCTTATAGTGAGAAGAGGGCAGCATGAGCCACAGATACATTACCAGGTTTCTGGTCTGCCAGCACTGGTCAAACCCAGCAGATAGCTTAGCAAGACCAACAGAACTCTGGAGCTGGAGGAACTGGGAGTCAACAGAGATGAATATAAGATTTGATTTTTAAAAATATTTTTCTTGTTAATCCTCACTGGAGGGTATTTTTCCGTCGATTTTAAGAGAAAGTGGAAGGAAGTGGGGGGAGACAGAGAGAGAAACATCGATGTGAGAGAGAGGCATCGGTTGGTTACTTCCCACACATACCCAACCAGGACTGGGGATGGAGTCTGCAACCAAGATCCGTGCCCTAGACTGGAATCAAACGTGGGACCCTTCAATCTGAGGGCTGACGCTCTATCCCCTGAGCCACACTGGCTAAGATTTAAATGTCTAACTGCAAAAGAAGTAGATAAGATTGATAAAAAGATTTTAAAACGACCCAAATATTCATCAACTGCTGGAAACCAATCATTGTCTCACTAATAGAAAGAGGCTGGTCAACCTTGAAGCTCTGAAAGGTCAGAGCCAACCACACCCTATCTAATTGAGACAATAGTAACTGAGGCAACTTCCCATCTTGTAATCATGTAAATCCTTACTGATATGATAATCCGCTTATTACCTAAGGGCTATGGGTGTTTCCCAAAGCTGCTTAAGGGTAATGGGTGTATCCCACAGCAGCCTCAATAAAAGGGATAGCAAGGCCAGAGCCTAGAGAGTCTTCCCATTAGAGGTTGACTCCCGCCTGACCCCCCATTTGTCCCAAATTAACTCTTTTCTAGTCTCTCTCTTCATTTTAGTATGTGGCCTCCTCCAGAAACCGGACCCTGAGTGGGCACTAATCACGCGGGTCGTGTTAAGGGTTCCCACAATCAACATGTTCAGGATTAGGATAGGCAACCGATGATCCATCAACACACAACTACACATCCAGTGAAACTGCCAAAAAGAATGTCCAAGATATTAAAAATGGGGGGAAACCCAGTGAGTAATAAATAACTCCTATAAACTATTTTCTGAAGTGCTGGGGAGGGGGGGGGAGGTAAGGAAAAAAATATTCAAAACTAGCAGGCTAGAACTGTATGATCTCTACCAACTGAGGAAAGCCATGTTCCTCAGAATTGACAACTCCCACTCGGAGTCTATGCAAATATCCCAGGAGAGAAGGTGGCCCAACCACCCTCCGGGGGTTGAGGGGGGAAGGAGAGACCATTACCTCCGGCTCAGCCTCTGGAACCAGTTGGTGAAGCTCAGTCTGCACAAGTGGCCTCTCTGTGGGACGGGGACTGCTGGGCAGGAGAGGAGCTTCCTCCAGCAGGTTCTCAGGCCCCTCTGCCATCGTCGTGGGGCTCACCCCAGTCTCCATGACAACGCAGAGTTGACTCAACCTGCTTCTCAGCAAGGGCTGCAAAGGAATCAGAGGGCGCTCGGATGTGTGTCCCAAGTTGGGCGGCACATGGAAGACCAAGGCCCTGAGTTGCAGATTACAGAGGATGGATGGGCCTTCCACAGACTCACACGCTGGGAGAAGGTGGAACTGAGGTACACTGGAGAGACCAGGTCATTCCCCACAAAAGTATGGTCCTTCAGCGATCCTCAAGCACTTTTCCTTATATTCTCATTTGCTCTCAAAGCAGCCTGGGGAAACTCCCTGAACGTTGGAGATGAGCAAACTGAAGCTCAAAGGCCTTGCCCAAAGCCATAAAGAAGCTAGTGGGCCAGGATCAGGCTAACCCACAATCCTGACTTCTAGACCGCTTATAGGGCCCAGGGAAAGGCTGACTCCAGGGTTCTGAGACAGGAGGGCTGGGTCCCGAACAGGGAGTTACCAACTGGCTCTGTGATCACCAGAGGGTGGTGATAGGACTTCTCAGTTTCCTCATCTGATCTTATTTATAAATGGTGGGCAGGCATTGTGAACAAGTGAAAGCCGCCTAAGTGCATGGTACTTTCCTCTACCGAGATCTTCATTATTTATTATTATTATTATTATATTATAAACAAACATATGGTCCCCAGAGGAAATGTGGAAAATGCCAGTAGTTAGAAAAGGAGATTACTTAGTAACAAAGACATCATTCCCTCTGCAAACCACCCCTGAGGTGACAGTGTCCTTCCTCCTAAGTAAGTTTTCGGTAGGCATTTCCCAACATGAAGCCAAGGCGATCTCTACAATCTGGTCTCCGGGTTTATTCTGTCTGTTCGTTTTTCATGTAAGGCATCTTACCTCTTGGCTAGTTTTCATTTCTCGAATATGTTCAGACAAAAACTGCACACAGTTCTCCAGGTCAAAGTAGACAAACCAGAGCTGGGGAAAGAAGAAGTTGTGAGCCCTGGGGCTCGAAGCCAGCCTGACCTTGAACCCTCCGGCCCTGAGATGACCTACACATCCAGTGAAACTGCCAAAAAGAATGTCCAAGATATTAAAAATGGGGGGAAATGGTCTTCTGTCTCCTGCCACCTTGCCAGAGGCCTTTGGTGGGAACATGCCATTCCGCTCTCTCCCAGAATCCCCAGCGGGAGCAAGTTCTCCTTCGTATAGAAAACTGGCTCTGTGCATACACCTGCTCAAAAGGCTGCACCCCACCTCCCACAGTCACTAAGCATCTGAGAGACTCCAAACTGCCCTGGACATCACGAATCCATCCAAGGCTACTGCCTTCATCTTCCGGGGCCCTTCGTTCTGGAATCCAACATGCAAATGAATGAAGCCCTTCAGAGCTGTCCCCACCCCCCTCCACTACCCACAGCCAGGTCAGAGGTCATCGACATGGGTGCTCTGGGGGGAAAGGAGCAGGGGACGAAGACCTCTCACCTCATCGTTACCACCCCTTCTGCCACAACCTCAGTAGTCCCCAGGAAGCCAGATTAAACCTAGCCAGGCAGAAATCCTCCATGTTCACCCATCAGATCATTTTGACAGCTCCAACCTGCCACACTTCACCCACGTTTTGCAAGAATCTGGTAGCCCACGTTTCACACCTCCAACCACTGACCACTTCCTCTGATCCCAGACCTCCCTCCTCCCAGTGACCGATCCATGAGACCCAAGGTCACACCCCTCTTGCCAACTAATCTCTCCCCCTGTCTCATCCTCGAGGAACATTTTTTTAAGTTAATTTCTTTTCTTTTTCCTTATGAAATTTTACAAACAGATACAAAAGTTGAGCAAATGATGTCATTAACTTCCAGCTACTCAGCATCTTGGTTCAACAATGATCACTTCATAGCTACTCTTGTTTTATCTCCACCCCTACCCACCACTCACCCCAGACACCTCTAGCCCCCACTCCACCTCTCCCCAATTATTATTTATAGGATGGCCCTAACCGGTTTGGCTTAGTGGACGGAGCCTCGGCCTGCGGACTCAAGGGTCTCAGGTTCGATTCTGGTCAGGGGCATGTACCTTGGTTGCGGGCACATCCCCAGTAGGGGGTGTGCAGGAGGCAGGTGATTAATGTTTCTCTCTCATCGATGTTTCTAACTCTCAATCCTGCTCCCTTCCTCTCTGTAAAAAAATCAATAAAATATATTTTTTTTAAATATTTGTAGGATGAACAGGACCCACTGGGTGACCTCATACTAGTCACTTAAGTTCTCCCCGCTGTCCTTAGAGCAAAGAAAACAACCGAGCCACTTGGACAATGCCTTCGGGATCTGACCTGCCTCTCCCAGGGCCTTGCATGTGCTTGGCACGGAGGAGGGGCCCCAGGTTTGCTGACTAAATGCTGACTGTCTCTGAGCTTCCCTTCCGGCTTGCCCCATGGAGGTTCCAGGCTGCTGGGTACCAGCCAGAGAAGAGTCTCCAGGAAGGAACACAGGAGCAGGGAGGAAGAGAAGGGCAGCCTACACTGTCTTAGTAGCAGACTTGGGCAGACACTGCGCAGACTGAGAGAACATGGGGCCACCGCTCCCATCAGCCCAAATGTGGGCCGGCAAGGAGAGGTCTCTCGGAGACACGTACCTGAATCACGCTCTGGCAGCCCTCCACCGTGTCCGTCACGCCCAGCAGCACGCGGTGTCGCAGCAGGGCTCCGTTGGCAGCCGCCAGCCTGAGGTCCGTGTTGGTGTTGGCCTGTAAGACAAAAACACCAGAAATGACCACACCCCACCCCACCCCTAGACACTATGGGACAGTCCTTTTCTTCAAGACACACCCACGTCCTCTCTATCAAATGGGATTGTGGAGTTGCTGAGACAATCAATCCAATAGTGTCAGGCAGAGTTGAAGCCCAGTTCTGCTACTTCCGGGCTGTGGGGCCCTGGACAGGATAAGTCCCTTCCCGGAGTCTTGAGTTCTTCAGCCGTGCAGAACAAAGAAGACTGTCTCTGACTCCAAGGAATGTGGTGCGCCTGAATTGAGTTTGTGTGTGGGATACAGTCAGGGGCCATAGGTATTGGCAGGAGGAGGGGGGATGAAGGGGGAGAGAGAAGGAAGGCGGGATGGGGGGGGGGGATGGAGGGAGGGAGGATAGAGGAGAGTTGGAAGGGGCCGGTGGGGGAAAGAAAGGGTGTGAGGGAATGGGCATTTATTGTGTCAGTAAAGCACCTACTATGTCTACAAGGCACCTACTTTCTGAAGTATCTGGCACAGTGTCTGACCCTCAGTGGAGCTTGGGGACCCTCTGCAACTCTGTTTCCTTTTCCCAGGCAAACCAATGACATGACAGATTTAACTGACAAGATAAAGCTAAGCAGGCCGGGGAGAAGGGAGGAGAAGGGTGTCAGGGTCCACAGTGCTGGTTTGGGGAAGAGACCCCCTCCATTAAGCAGTTCAGTTAGGACAATGGTTCCCACAAGGGTGGGACCCCCTTAGGAAGCTTTCGGAAATGTGAGAAGACTCTTGCTGCTGCCATGGGAATGGCTGGCAAAGCTGGCCCCTAGGCACAAGGGCCAGGGAAGCTAACTGCGTGCCTCCCTCGGAGGCCATGTCCCATGAGAGACACTCCCACACGGAAGAACCGTCTCCTGGCAACCTGGACTAAACACGTCCTCTGGGTGAAAAGTCTACCCATCATTCTCTGGCTGGCAACCTAACACCACTTTACATTTAAGCCTACAGTGCGCTTGTTTTCAAACAGGTTTAAAACACAGTGAATGTTCCAGGAATGCCACTACTATGAAAATCAAGGAATGGTTATGTTTTGTTTCGCCTAGAGCCTTGGTCGAGCACATGCGGCTCTTTGGCCCTTTGAATGTGGCTCTTCCACAAAATACCACGGTCTGGGCGAGTCTATTTTGAAGAAGCGGCGTTAGAAGAAGTTTAAGTTTTAAAAATTTGGCTCTCCAAAGAAATCTCAATCATTGCACCGTTGATATTTGGCTCTGTTGACTAATGAGTTTGTCGACCATTGGCCTAGTGTTTGCACGGGTGCTTCCCCCTTTCAGAAACCTGCCTCACCTGACTCCACCTCTCACTACCTGCATAATTTTGGACAAATTATTCACTGTGTTTCTGCCTCCATCTCCTCATCTCCAAATTGGAGATGCTCACACCCTGTCATAGCAAGGCTTATAACAAGGACAAAATAAGTTCATCCACACAGAACCCTGGGAAGAACAAACACTCGAATTGTGTCAGGTAATGATATCATTCCAATGATGATACTGAATTGAGAACCCAGTGTTTTCCACTGTACCACACTGGCCACAACAAATATTTTTAGGACCTTCCCATGTGCCATAGCAACATGCATTATTTTATATGGGATACACGGCAAGGACTTACCTGCCTTCCCCACAAACCTTTTGATTTTGAGAAAGGATATTAATGCCCCAAACAAGGAGAAGCAGGCAGTATATGCAAAGCGCTAAGGCTCTCAAGGATGCTACCTGATGCAGGTCCGCCATTGTAAGAATAACAATGGTCAGGAAGAGGGATATGCCTGCTCATGAGTAATAAGGGATCCGAGAAGGAAGAAGTCCTTGAGCTGAGGCAAGAACTGAGGAAGCTGTGTGGCCAAGGACTGGTTACTTAACCTCTCTGAGCCTTTTTCCCCACTGGCCAAAAGACTCAATAACTGTGACAGTTAACACTTACTGAGCACATACTTTAAAGCAGGTATGATTACGAGAACTTGGCATCTATTAAGTCATTTAATTCTCTAATCTCAGGAGTGGGGTGGAGGATGCCACAATTGTCATCTCACTTTACAAGTGAGAGATCTAAGACCCTGAGAGAATAAGTAATAACTTCCAAGGGGCAGAGGTGTCCTGCCTCCTTGTTCAGGCTATTGTTGGGCATCGATATCAGGTTCCAAAGACAGAACACATAGTAGGTGCTCATTAAATGGTAGTCATTACTAGGAAGGCAGGGACCCTGGAGGGATCCCCTGAATGAGCAAACAGTGATAATAGAAGTGTCCCTCTGTACGTAGGGCCTCCTGCTGCACCTGTGGGTAAGACACCAGGTCTTATTCACCTCTGTGCCTTGCACCTGGCACATTCTCTGGTATTAGCAGGGGCTTCATACATACCAGCTGAACAAGGACAGAAGAGAGAAAGGAGGCATTGAGCCACCGTAGGCATTCCCTGGCCTGCATTAATTACATCTGCATCCTCGAAGCGCTAGCCAGGTGCCAGTGTTCCGCTTGCTCCTGCTAAAGCAGCGTTTCCTTTGCTTTTTCTGCCTCCCTGAGAGAAGCTTCTAGCTGCAGGAACAGCCAGCTCGGTTTGCTTCTCATAGGCCGAGCACAAGGGCCATGAAAGCTTCCACAGGGCCCCAGGCAGCATTAGTCTGTCAGCCCCATCTGTACCAGGTCAAAGATCTCTTTGGAACGATGGAAGCCATAAAGTTCCTATGTGTCCCTGTGTGCACTGGCACTAAATGACACTCATCCCCCAAAGCCCAACCACGTTTCCCGACACCCCAAACACGCCACCCTCTCCTCCTGAGTCAGGTGAGAGTGGAGTGTTTGCTAAAGATCTCAGAGTCCGGCTCTGTGCCAGGTGCTGGGAGAGCCTCCTCGGCACTGGGAAGACGGCAGAGGTGTGGTAGGCAGAATAATGTTCCCCCAACATGCCTAAGTCCTCCTCCCAGAACCTGTGAGCACGTTCCATTCCATGGCGAAGAGGAAAAGAGGTGTAGATGGAAGTATGCTGTTCATTAGCTGGCCTTAAAACAGGCAGATTGTCCCCGATTATCCAGGTGGTCCAGTGTAATCCCAAGGAGCCTTAAGAGCGGACTAGGGCCCAGCTGATGTGGCTCAGTGGTTGAGCATGGACCTATGAAGCAGGGGGTCTCGATTCCATTCCTGGTCAGGGCACATGCCTGGGCTGCTCGATCCACCGTGTGGGGCGTGCAGGATTCTCTCTCATCACTGATGTTTCTGTTTTCTTTCTCTCTCCCTCCCCGTTTCTCTCTCTGAAATAAAAAGTATCGTTTTAAAATAAACATTTTAAAAGTGGAAGAGGGAGGCAGAAGACTCAGAGTCAAAGAGGTGGGAAGGACTCCACCTACCACTGCCGGCTCTGATGATGGAGGAAGGGAACATGAGCTGAGGAACGCAGGCGGCCTCCAGGAAAAGGTGGGGAGTCTCCCTGGAGGCTCCAGAGAGGACGCAGCCCTGCTGTGTCAACCTTTCACACCGCAGAACTGTGAGCTAATAAATCTGGGTTGTTTTAAGTTACTACGTTTACGGTGATCTGCCACAGCACCCATGAAATACCAAGAGAGATGGGTCTTAACAGAGAACTTGGCTTGCAATCCCAGCTCTGCCATTTATTGCCAGCATGAGATTAGACTACTCCTAAAGCCTTTAGGAGCCTACGGTTCCTCATCTGTAAAATGACTATGGAAGACTCTACCCAGAGAGTTACTGGACAGGTTTACTAGTAATGAGTTAATGTACGTAAAGCTTTTAACAGACGATCAACCACATAGGAAGTGCCCATAAGTATGTTAAAGAAGCAGAATACATTAGTGAGCCACACATATGCGGGAGGGAGCAATGAAATGGGGAATCAGAGGTCTTGGGCTTTGAATCCTGGCTCTACCACTCACAGTGGGATCGGGCCAAGTAACCTAACTCTGACCACCCACTCACTGCCTAGAAAGTAGCTGATGAGTTAAAGGAGACTGTCAACAGAGCAGACTGTCAACAGAGCACAGAGCCAGCACCCACCCAACTCCCTCAACCCTCGGCCTCAGGGACCCGGTCCTCGGTAATTCCCTCCTCGCTCAGAGCCCTCCTAAGCATGTGGGGAGGAGGCGAGTGACAGGACTCAGTAACCTCTAAGTGCCACACAAATACTGGCTTTCTGTGCTCTCTCTCACCTCCCAGACTCTCAAAACACAGCTTGCTGCCATAGAAACAACCCACAGGGATCCAATAAGAAAGACAGGGAGGATTTAATCACATGTGTGGCTTAATTTCTTTGAGCCACTGGGCACATGGGCCGGTGTGAATTTCAAAAGTGACAGCCACTTGCCGAAGCAGGTCAGAGGAAAAACTCTGACTGGGAATCCTCCTGCCCGCACAGCCCTCCAGAGGGGACGTGGCTGGGGTCCCCAGACCTCTCACCTTCCTCTGGTGTCTCTCAAAGATGAGCATGAGAGTCAGCGTCAGGCTCAGCGCGGCCAGGGTCACGAGCAGCACGCCGGCCCAGTGGTTGCCCAGGGCAAACATCTGGCTGGTGGAGTAGATGTTGGCCCACACCACCACATAGAAAACCTGCAGGAAGCCGGGGCAAGAGCAAGGTCAGGAACGCAGTCCTCGCACGAGGCAGCTCCACTCCAGGGGACACACTTCTGACACAACCTTGGATGCACGGAGCTCACAGGGCCCGTGAGAGACTGATTGGGACCCATGAGAATGAGTCCTTGTTTCTTGATCATAAGTGAAGGTAGGAAAATGGAGTGAGAATAGTTACTCCAAAACCCTGCTTGTGCTGATTTTAAGTAAAACAGAAAAGGACAGGGGGCTTGGGAGGGAGAGAAATTTGAGGCAGAATCCCACAGTGATCCTTCAACAGCTGTGTGGCCTGGACAACTCATAACAACGCTCTGAGCCTCAGTTTCTTCATCTGTAAAATTGGGATGATACTAACTTCACAGGGCTAATACAGGGATCAATAAGATAACTTATGTTAACAGCATAGCACTTATTAGAAAGTTAATGAAAGCCAGTTGCCGTCCCTTTTCCTTCCTAAGAAGCAGGACATAGGGGTTAAGAGTTCTATTTGACCACTTTCCACAGAGAAGCAACAAGTCACAGTGATTAAGAGGGGTTGAACCAGAGTGGCTGGGTTCAAATACTGGCTCCGGCATAGATATGTATGCATATGTGTGTTTGTATATATGTAGGTATACATGTATGTTTATATGTATCTATACACATGTGTATACACCACACATAAGTAGAGCTAAAATGGACCTATCTGTTGAACAAATGGGGAAACCAAGTCCCAGAGAGAAGCCTTGACCAAAACCAGGTGCCGAGTCCGGAGCCTCAGTGCTGGGTCTGCAGACCCACAATGCCGGGCTCTGCCCCCAGTAAACCCTGCTCCCATCCTCTGCATGGGGACCTGGTCACACTCCCTGCCACCAATTCCCTTATACCAGATCCAGGTCCAGGGGTGCTGCCCTCTCCCAGCCCCCAAACCCGCACCCACACCAACAGGCTTCACCAGAGGACGCCGAATCCAGCAATGCCACAGGGGCAGCAGCAGGACAGGGTGTCACCCCCCTCCTCACCACAGCGAAGGCCAATCGCATGGGCCTGGAGTTGTAGATGATGTATCTTCTCACTTGGGGCTCCAAGAGGGCGCTCTCAGCCAAGCTCCTGTACTGGTCAGCCGGGACCTGCTTGGCCACCCCAGAGAAAGAGATCCGTCAGTCACAGAGAGCCCCCGCCCCCCACCTCCTTCCCGCCAGCAAGCGTGTCATTCCCAGCTCACATGACTATCATGCGGCAGGGGGACCCGGCTCGCTCTGAGCTGGACCAGAGGCAGAATGAGGAGCTCAGAGCTTTGATGGCGACCACAGGACACAACTCCCGGCTCAGGAAAGGTCAGGCATCCCTGGCGAGGTGGGGCGGCTCAAAAGCCAGTAGGACATCCCACAGAGGCTCAGTACCTCATGGCCGACCGGGATAGCCTCAAGTTTAAGGCACAGGCCTGGGAGTCAGCTGGCCCTGGGTCCAAACCTTGGCCCTGCCACTCATGTGCTGTGTGACCTGGAGAAAGGAACTGCACTTCTCTGAACCACAGATTCTGTAAATCAAGGATAAGAGTGCCCACCTTGTAAGGGTGGTGTGCATCTATAATAATAAAAGGGTAATATGCTAACTAGACTGGACGTCTTCCGGACATTCTTCCTGACAAAGCAGGGCCGGAGAGAAGCCAGCCCAGGTCCGGGGTGCCTGCCAGAGGCCAAAGGAAAGAAGCAGCCTAGGTCCCAGGCACTGGAGAGAAGCTGAAGCCAGCAGCCAGGGGAAGGAAGGCCTACTCTTGCACGAATTTTCGTGCATTGGGCCTCTAGTATTAAATAAGATGATATAGTATTTATACAATAAGTATATACCAGTATATACTATGTTTATACATATCATCTGGACATTTTGGGGGGAAGGGAGCCTTTGTTCTGCCTACCACAGTTGGTTTTGTCTTCTTGGACAGATATGTGTATCTAAGTGTATGTGTATGCTGGCCCAGTGCTGGTTCCACGGTGGACAAGTGCTATTATCAGTTCTGCAATATCAGTAACTATTAATACAGCCCAAAGTTCTGAAAACTCACACCTTCCTGCCCAAACAATAATGCAGTAGTGCAAAAGATCCCACAAGAATGGACTGCTTAAGAACACAGAATTTGGCCTGGCTGGTGTGGCTCAGCAGTTGAGCATTGACCGATGAACCAAGAGGTCACAGTTCAATTCCCGTTCAGGGCACATGTCCAAGTTGCAGACTCAATCCCCAGTGTGGGGCGTGCAGGAAGCAGCCGATCAATGATTCTCTCTCACCAGTGATGTTTCTACCCTCTCTGCCTCTCCCTTCCTCTCTCTGAAATCAATAAAAACATACTTTTTAAAGAAGGAAAACAGAATGTAACCAGGAAAGGTGCTATGTGGGGACAGTATGTAAACTGTTCGTGGGTGAAGAGAACCCCATCTAAAGATAACTGTTTATAAGAAAAATGTTCTTCTCCACAAAGGCTGGAAGGAAACGTGGGAAGATAAACCAGCTCCGGTGCTGATGTGGGCTTAGTACCATCAATCTGGGAAATTTCCCTTTAAGGGTGAGGAAATGTTACTTCACACAAGAATGCAATTCAGTTTAAAGACGTAAACTCTAAAAGCTGCAGGGTAAAATTCACCGAGTACCTTCCCCATCCATCACTGAGCCTCCCTGGGAAGCGCAGGAAAAGGCCCCCCCATGCTGGGGAAGAAAACAGCAGCTAGGATACTTAATGATGACAGCACCAGCTACAATTTCTGAGCATTCACTCTGTAATTGCAGAGACAGGGCAGTGTGCCTCCGGCATTACTTCACTGTCATCACAAGAACCCTGTCACAGGGACTAATGTTGCCCTCACGATGATGACAGTGGCTCAGAGAGATTAAGTCACCTGTCCCAAGTCACGCAGGCACTAAGGAGAGCCAGATCTGCATCCAGAGCTATGGATCTGTGATGCCTATACCTCAAATCACTATGCTTAAAGGTACTGCATTATCAGCTAATGAATCCTATCATGTGTCCTCTCCTAAAATGCTCTTCCCCTGTCTGCCCAGCAAACTCCCACTTTTCCTCAAGATCCCGGATCCCATAGCTGCTCCTCTGTGAGTGGTTCTTTAAGAACGAACCACTGCCGCACACCAGGCAGGTTTCTCATTTTCTCCCGTGAAGGTGTCTTCCATGCCTTACACAGTCCTCTCCTGCAGCACGAATATCAGACTGCCGGGTTCATCCCACATATGTCCATCTCCCCACTGGGCTCTGGGAGCAGTGAGGGCACAGGCTCTGGGGCCTATTCACCTCTGCAGTGTTTATTTAGTGCCCAGCAACGTGCCTGGCAGAGTGGGCATCCAAAATGCACATCTGTAAAGTGAAATAATGGGGAGGAGAGGACTGTTCTAACACATCTCCCTTCTCTCCTTTACCATATCAAGGATATGGCACATGTTTAATAAATTAGTTTGTGAATTACTAGATGAAAGGATGGATGGATGGATGGATGGATGGATGGATGGATGGATGGAAGGGAAAACAGTAAGGATGTAATCAAATCAGCACTCACCTGAATGCCCCAGGTCTGCAGCTGCTGCTCTGCGGCTCCCAGATCAAAGGAGATGGGTGCACAGGTATTGTCGATCCGGAGAACCGTAAGGACCTGGCCATTGCGGAGATCTGAAAGCAGACAGGAGCTTCACCTGGCTGAACAATCACTACCGCTGTGGATGAGCCTGTCACCTCCTCCGGCCATGAGAGCCTCCCCATGGCAAGGAGGGACAGGTGGGTGACCTCAATTCCCTACAGAAGAACCGGAGTTGACAGGAAAGCCCCCAGAGGCAGAACTGGGGGCCGGAGCGTGGAGGCCATTAGGACACCATGGGAGAGCATGCAGGGAAGAACCTGCCCAAAATGAGAGCTGTCCACACAGAATGGGGGGTACTAAGCTCCCCATCACAAAAGATATTTCAACAGAGACAACAATAAACTACACCGAGGAGATGATTTGTAGACATTCATTCAAGCACTGCTCAACTCTTACCGTCCCGGTGGGTACAGAGTCTGAGATAACCAACTGTGGTAGGCAGAACAATAGACCCCACCCCACTCCCCAGAACCTGTGCGCGGCAGAGGAGGATTGAGGCTGCAGATGGACTTGACATTGCTAATTAGCTGACTGTAAATTGGGTGACTGCCCTGGATTATCTGGGTGGACCCGATATAACTTCAAGGATCCCTAAAAGTGGAAGAGGGAGACAAGAGAGTCAGGAGGGACTGGAAGAAAGGCTTGGAAGATGGGGGAGGGGTCATGAGCCAAGGAATGTGGGCGGCCTTTAGCAGCTGGGAAAGCCAAGGAACCAGCGTCTGCTGGAGCCTCCTAAAGGAATGCAACTCTGCTGAGATGGCGAGGACTTCCACTGAGTGAGGCCAAAGTCAGAGTTCTAACCCTGAGAGGTAAACCTATGTTCTGCAAGCCTCTCTGCCAATGGTAATTTGTTAAAGCAGCTACAGAAAAACGCACACTGACTTACTGGAAACCCCTCCCAGTGTGAAAATCCGAGTGCAACTGCTGGCTCCAAGTGTAACTTAAGTTTTCCCTCAGTATCCACGGGGGCTTGGTTTCCAGGACCCCTCACTGATACCAAAACCCGCAGATGTTCAGGTGCCTTATATTAAATGGTATACAGTTGGCCTTCCACATCGCAAACTCCCAACCAGGGATTGAAAACATACAGGCATTCATTGAGAAAAATCAGCCTGTCAGTAGGTCCACACAGTTCAAAACCGTGTGTCCAAGGGACAACTGCATTTGTTTGTACTCCCACACCAGAAAGGATTGAAGGTGGCTTCATAAAAATAAATTTTAAGAAGATAAAATGATAAAATTAGATTTAAAAATAAGCAAATGAGCGAGCCCTGGCCAGATGGCTCACTTGGTTGGAACCATCATCCCATGCACCAAAAAAGTTACAGGTTCAGTCCCCACCCAGTTCCAGGTTCGATCTCTGGTCAGGGCACATGTAGAGGCAACTGATCAATGCTTCTCTCTCTTTCTCTCTCTCCCTTCTTCTCTCTCTAAAATCAAAAAAAACATATCCTAGGGTGAAGATTAAAAAATAATAATAGCTGAAGCCGGTTTGGCTCAGTGGTAGAGCGTCGGTCTGCGAACTGAAAGGCCCCAGGTTCGATTCCGGTCAAGGGCATGTACATTGGTTGCGGGCGCATCCCCGGTGGGGAGTGTGCAAGAGGCAACTGGTGGACGTTTCTCTCTCATCGACGTTTCTAGCTCTCTCTCTCTGTAAAAAATCAATAAAATATATAAATAATAATAATAATAATAGTAACTCCATGGTTGGTTTGGTTTGGTTCAGTGATTAGAGTGTCAGCCCAAGAACGAAAGTGTCCCAGGTTCGATTCCTGGTCAAGGGCACATACTCGGTTGCAGGTTCATCCTGCCCCTAGTTGGGGTGTATGCAGGAGGCAATCAATCAATACATTTCCTTCACATCAATGTTTCTCTCCCCCTCTCCCTCTCTCTCTCCTTCTCTCCCTCCCTCCTATACTCTACTCACCCTCCTACTCTCTAAAGTCAATAGAAAAATATCCTCAGGGATGAGGATTGAAAATAATAATAATAAGCAAATGAGAAAAACTAGGCAAAAAGACAATAAGGACAGATAGAACAATGAAGTAAAATAAGGATAAAATAGAACAATAAAGTAAAATAAGAATAGCTTCTGGAATTTGAGCCTTTAGTATGTACCAGACTTCAAGTCATGATTTCATTTACTCCGCCAAGGGCCCTAAGAGGTGGACACCATTATCATGGAAAAGAAAAGGAGCCTTTGAAAGATGAACAAAGGAAGTTGACCAATGTTACCAGAGGAAATGAAAGTGAGAGAGAGGAGGAGGAGAAAAGGTAATACACAAAATGCAGGCATGCATGCTGGATGGTTCCCAGACTAGCTCCCCGTTCCATCACACAGCATGGACTGGGGTGCCCATGGAGGCTTGGACTCCACACTCGGAGAATGGGAACTGCTCGCCAGCAGGCGCTTTGCCACTGAACAAATGTTTGCCCGAGCAGTGCAAACACTCCCCACGGTTCCTCTGTCTGCCTTCCGAACCAGAGGTCCTGGGTTCTTGGCAATCATCTCTTTCATCTGTTCCATAAAGTGAAAGTAGCAATTCTTCCACGTAGAAAGGCTTGTTTTCACACTAGATTAGGAGGAAAGATATGAAAAGCTACCAAAGAAGTGTGAGTGTGCTTGTGTGTTTGTGTGAGGGTATGTGTGTGTGTGTGTTATTGTGAGCTCGTGTGTGTATGTGTGCGAGTGTGTATGTGTGTGTGTGTGTGTGTGTGTGAGCGCATGTGTGAGTGTATGTGTGTGTACTTGTTTGTGTGTGTTTGTGTGAGTGTGTGCTTGTGTGTTTGTGAGAAAGTGTGTGTGATAGTGTGTGTGAGTGTGCAAGTGTGTGTGTGTATGTGTGCGAGTGTGTATGTGAGTGTTTCGGGGGGGAATTTCCTACAAAGGAATAAGAACTGGCTTGCCGAAAATCAGTGGAGTAATATCTTCGAAGTTCTAAAGGAAAATTACTTAATTCGGTTTCATTCCACTGTTGTGTATGGGTAAATTGTTTTCTAATAACAGTAGTAAAATGAGGAACCCTTGTGCCCTCTCGTCCCTTCCCTCAGCAGACACGTGCTTGTCACCAAGTCGTGAGTTCAAACTGCTACTTTCTTGGAAACACGCAAAATGCTGATTCCGTTCAAAATTAATGCAAATGTTTCTGATAGCTGTAAATGTTTCTCCTTGCTAGATAATGTATGTACTAAAGTCACTAGGAATATAGTGCTCTCAAAAAAAGAAGTGAGGACAACATCTTTTATTGCACTGGAAAGACTATTGGAATCTTTTGGAAGATATGGCAGAAAATGTACTTTTGAAAATACACAATCAAGATATCTCATGGCATTAACCAAAGAACTTATATGCAAATACACATTACCCAATAAGGTGATGAAGGCCAGGGCGTGTAGGGATCCAGAGGAGGGGAGAACTGGGACATCTTAATACTCTCAACAATAAAGATTTAAAAAAAAAAAAAAAAAAAAAGGTCTCTCATGGATTATTAAAAGAAAAATATTTGAAGATAAATAAAGATCTCTTTGGATAGCATATAAAGAATGGACAGCAGCCCGGCCAATTGAGCATTGACCTATGAACCAGATCACGATTTGATTCCCATTCAGGGCACAGGCCAGGATTTCAGCCTTGATCCCCAGTGGGAGGCGTGCAGGAGGCAGCCGATCAATGATCCTCTCTCATTATTGGTGTTTCTCTCTCTCTCTCTCTCCCTCTCTGAAATCAATCAATATATATTTTTAAATAAATAAAAATAAAAGATGGCTAAAAGAGGCAAGATGGGGGATGAGATCAGCTAGGAAACTACAGCAAAAATCCAAACAGAGCGTAATGGTGGTCTGATCTAAGGAGGCAGTGACAGAGAGAATGGGTAGAGATGACAGTCACTGGCCTGGAAACAAATCCCCAAATGCCCACCCTCATCTAAAGGCACTTCTGTGTCCCTCCCCTGCCCTCCCTCCATACTCAGGATCCTGGGGAGAGTAGCAGCTAGCAGTGGGGGGAAAGGAATTGAGGTCACGGCCTTACCTTGCCCCCAGCCAGGAGGGCTCCCCACCGGCAGGGCACTCCAGCCAGGAGAGGAGGTGGGTAAGGGGCCAGCCGCACCGCCAGGGCCCATCTGCGCTTCACAGGCCATAGCAGACAACCCGCAGGGTGTCTACTTCCCCTTCTCTGCGCTCTGGTTCATTCTGGAACAGCCAGCTCAGCTTCACTCGCCTTCAGAAAACAGCAAAGAAAGAACTTCAGGCCAGGACCTGAGCAGGCTGGGCTCCTCCCCTTCACTCTGGTCTCTCTGCTCACACTGAGAACTAAAACCCTTCCAGACCTCAACCGCTGACTGCTGAGAACTTCCCTTCTGGGGGGCCTTCTCCAGATCAGACGCATCACATGGGGGAGTCAGGAAACTCAGAAGCTGCCGGGGCCCCACTCCCAGGCCTGTGGGATTTCCAATCCCTTACTTTGGGCAGCACAGGTACATTCATCATGGGGAGACTTGTTCATATGAAGAATCTCAAAGAGTTTCCCAGAGACATTGCAAAATACAAATGATAAAGAACATCAGGATGGTGGGGGGGGATTTTTTTTTTAAGTTATGAGCATGAAGAATAAAAATACCCAGATATTTTGGCAATCAGGGTCCCTAGCAGAGGTTTGGGTTCAAGAACATGAACCCCCAGGTCAGACTAACCAGTTTAAAGGTCAGTTCTAGGATGTACAGGTCAGGTAAACGTGGGTAAGTGGTTTTAACCGCAAAGAGCTTCAGCTTCCCTATATTTAATCAGTGGTACCTTCCCCACAGGGTTGCTGCAAAGAATTGATAGGATGCTAGAAATAAAGGATGTTTAATAGCATCACTGTCAAGGTACTGAACTCCCTGAGCCGTCCTCATCTGTCAAATGGGTTCATGGAGGACTACTTGCCATAACCGCTGTGGGGATAACAGAGAGAAGTACAAGCATAACACCCAGTACCCTGCATGGATCAGGCCCCTTTCCTTAGAGGCTTTTCTCATTTCACAGGAGAGAAAATTGAGGGTCAAAGATGGGAAGAGACCTGCCCAGAGAACCTGCCCAAGCTAGAAACTATAGAGCCAGCAGGTGAGCCCAGGCCAGCTGGCTCCAGAGTTCAAGCCCATAACTCCCATGCCCCTGAGCCTCAGGACCCAGATCCGGGCATCTCTGAAATTGTCCCTTATACCACCTGTGAGAGAGGACAAAAGAGGAGGAGGAGGAGGAGGAGGAAGAGGGGAAGGAAGGAAGGAAGGAAGGAAGGAAGGAAGGAAGGAAGGAAGGAAGGAAGGAAGGAAGGAAGGAAGGAAGAGGAAGGAAGGAAGGAAGAGGAAGGAAGGAAGGAGCAAGTTACTTAACTTCTCTCTGCCCACTCTCGGCATGCAAATGCAGGTAATAATAGTAACTCAGTTGTTGCGAGGGCTTAAAGAGTCCCTCCAAGTAAACCACTCCAAGCAGGGCTAGGCAAAGAGGAATCGCTGAAGGAATATAGCTGTTATTTTTACTCCAGAGACGTTCCCTAAGAAATAGTGCCGGGCACCGTGCTTTCTCTCTATAAAACCAGGGGGAAAAAATGGTGAGTCCCTAGCTGAAACTAGTTTGGCCCAGTGGATAGAGCGTCGGTCTGCGGACTAAGGGGTCCCAGGTTCGATTCTGGTCAAGGGCATGTACCTTGGTTGCAGGCACATCCCCGGTGGAGGGTGTGCAGGAGGCAGCTGGTCGATGTTTCTAGCTCTCTATTCCTCTCTGTAAAAAAAAAAAAAAATCAGTAAAATATATATATTTTTAAAAAATTGGTAAGTCCCTCTTCAGCCCTCCCCACGGGGGATTCACCATCTGATGGAAGAGACAAACTCTGAGGAAGAGAGAGAAGAATCTATGACCAAACAAAACACTCAGAGGGTGTGGGCAGCAGCACCTCGGGGTGGTGAGAAGGCTGGGCACAGGTGGAGGTGAGGGAGATACTGCCAAGAAGGGGAGAGGTACAGATCAGATGCAAAGGACAGGACGGATGCTGGCAAGACTGGCCACGGGCAGACATTGACCCTTTACCTACCAACCTGTGCTGAGCTCAGGATCCTGCCCAGGGCTGATCCGGTCCCATGGGGAGGAAGGGACAAACATGGGGAGGGGAGGAGCTGGGGAGTGAGCGTAGCCCTGGGGCTCCTGGCCATCCAACCCCCACCCTGCTTCTTCAAGTTTTCTAAGTTGCCTTTGATGATTCTGCATTTAACTAGAACTTCCAGTTGTCCGTCTTTTTTAGCGAGGTGGCAAATCCCTGCAAAGACAGATGTCCTCAAGTCCTGCTGAACAAAGGTCTCCATTTCTGCAAACACTGAGTGCCCAGCGTCCCCAGAACCAGATGCCTCGCTGAGATTTAAGAAAGCGGGCTTGGGGGGGAGCGGGAGGAGTAGGGGAGTTTGGAAAAAAAGATTCCAGCTTTTACTAGTCAGGTTTTGTTTTTGTCAAACTGCAAAGTCCCAAGAAACCCCAAGAGGACCTGGATCAGGCTCTGAAGCGAGAAGGCAATAAACTACTGGGGAAAGAGCGAGGACTTTACAGACGTTTTGCGATGAAAAAAGCCTTGAAAAACCATGGGCCCAGGTTCTCCATTTTACAGATGAGAACATTAAGACCCAAAAATGAAAGTGAACTATGCAAGGTCAGGGAGTCCATCTGGGTCAAGGCCAACGCGGAACCGGGCTCTTTCAGCGAATGCGGGGGGTAACCCCGCAGCCTGGCCTTGGCCTTGGCCTTGGGCAGCTGCGGCTGGCCCCCGGCACTGCCCTCGGGTCCTGCTCTGGGCCTGCTGTCTCGGGGTCTCCCCCTCACCCCAGAAATCACCCCCACGGGCCACCGCTTCTAGGGATCCGCCCGAGGGCAGCTCCCGCGCCCCGGACGCGGAGGAAGGGGCCAGGAGCCTCTGGAAAGAGCTGGGGCGCCGCCGCGGTGACCGCAGCCGGGAAGGGGCGCCGGGCGGCCGCGCAGGCCGGGCCGCGGCTGCAATCTGGGCTCCGGCCCCGCGGGCGCGCACTCACCCCCCGCCGCCGCCGCCGCCGCCCCGGAACACGGGAGGTCGGGCCGCCGCCCCTCCGCGCCGCCGCCTCCGCCTCCCGCCGCCGCCCGCGCCGCGCCGCCTCCCGGGCCCGGCCCCGGCCGCCCGCGCTCACCCGCCGGGAGGAGCCGCCCGCGGGCCCGCCTCGGGGTCGGGAGGGGAGCCTTCGCCCCGCGGAGCCGATCGGGGAGCGGCCTTCCGTCTGCCCCGGCTCCCCCGGGGCGCCAGGAAGCGTCTCCGTGCTCCCCACCACGTGCAGCGATCCCGGGGCGCAGGGGGGAGGGTGGGGGTAGGGTGGCCCTCGGGGACAAGTTCCGGCTCCTCTGGGAGGCTCGGAGAGGTCGGTCCCTTGTCTGAGCTGCAACTTACCTCCTCCGAGGTCCAGCCCCGCCGAACGCAGTCACGGGACGCGGAGGATGAGGCAATGCCTGGGATCAGAACCCTCTCAGGGACCTGTGTTTTATAGGGGAATTATGTGTGTGCTGTGTTGTTGAGACTATCGGTGCGGGGACCAGGTTACCTGAGCTCTAAGCCACTAGGTCTCGGCTTTGGAGAGCATCCTCGGTAAACGATATAAGGGCTCTGTGCCTTTGTTTTATGTAAACACACACACACACACACACACACACACACACACACACACACCAAAAAAAACCCTCTATACTGTTTCATGCTTTAATGAGATCAAATCTCTGTGCTGGCAGCTGCCAGAAACGTCTGGCAGCTCACTAGGCTTTGGCTGCCACCCCCAGCACCATCACTCGGGGTTTCAGTGCAAAGGGCTCCCTCCCTCCCCTAGGAAAGCAGGAGCCTTGTGTATTTTCCCACAAGCACAGGTGGACAGATGCACACACACACATACACACAAAAGGGAGCTTATTTTATTCTGCTGGGCACCTACTTTTTAATTCAACAAAAGTTCCTTGGCATTCAGCTCATGCCAGACCACTCCACTCTGCCTCTCTTTTTAATTTTTTAAAAATATATTTTATTGATTTTTTCCACAGAGAGGAAGAGAGAGGGGTAGAGAGCTAGAAACGTCAATGAGAGAGAAACATCGACCAGTTGCCTCCTGCACACCCCCACTGGGGATGTGCCCCCAACCAATGTACATGCCCTTAACCGGAATCAAACCTGGGACCTTTCAGTCTGCAGACCGTCGCTCTATCCACTGAGCCAAACCGGTTTCGGCTGCCTCTCTTTTTTAAGAGGTGCATAGACCTCCATATATTGTGAGAAGGCCCCTCCCCCCAGTGGACAGGTAGGTGGTTCCCACTCTTGCTCACAGGCTGTGCTGGGATGGTCCCAGTCACAGGGCTGCTACATGCCACGGCCTGCATCCTGCAGCTGAGTCAGAACGGGGGTGTATTTTTAATGCAACAGAGACTGCCAGGTTGCTGGGCGCCTCCCAGACCACGGGACTTAGTTGACTGCACGCCCCGCCAGAGGCACAGCGGAGTGCTCTGGGGCAGTGAGCAGTGACTGAGAAATTAAGCAGCAGGTACTGCCCAGGGGTCCGCATTCCCCAGGCAAGTGAAACCTGACATTGGGTGCCTGCTAAGTGCCAGGCGTTGTACTGGGCAGCACTGAGCGAGACATTCCAGACCCCCACCTAGTTTGCCAAAATACAATTCCAGGGGGCTGGAAGCAAGAGCCCATGGATGCTGGAGCTTTATAACTGCTGAGCGATATTGGGAGGGATCCTCTGGCCCTGAAGAGGATCAGTTGGAGGAGTAGTGGCTCAGTTGATTGAGTATCCTCTCACGCACCAGAAGGTTGCTGGTTCGAGTCCCAGTCAGGGTATATGCCCAGGTTGTGGGTTCCATCCCCAGTATGGGGTGTGCATGCAGGAGGCAGCAATCAATTGATGTTCTGCTCTCCATTAATATTTCTCTTTCTCCCTCTAAAAATCATTAAAAATATTAAGGGGGAAAAAAGGGGATCCTTTGACACGTGGGGCCTGATCACCAGCCATCTAAATCCTGCCTTTCCAGCACAGCCTACCTCCTCCGTGAAGCCTGATATTGTCCTGTTTTTTTCTGCCAGGCTTCCTTCCTGGGCATTCTCACTGCT